ACTGGTTGAACCACGACAAATCAGGAATGTAAGGGGGGTCAAGATAGACAAAAAGTTACACAAGCAGGCCTTAGTCATGTGGAAAAACTTGTCACCASAAGTTGCCACTTGGGAGGACTATGACAAACTACAAGATCAGTATCCCCATGTCAACCTTGAGGACAAGGTGTTTCTTGAAGAGGGTGGGACTGATAGGCTCCAACTATCCATTCGGGCCCACAACATGAGACCCAGGCCAAGACACACATCAACCAGGCCCAACACAAGAGAAACACCTGATCACCCATGTGCAACCTCCACTGAGGTTCGTTTACGTGAGGAGGCCACGTCCCTCCAGTTAGTTAGCAGTCACAGTCTAGTCCATGTGCAGGAGAGACTGAAGAGAGAGTATAAATAATTGTAACCCCCCATCTATTCGAGGCATGAAATGGAATAATCCTTTAGTCTTCTACTGTCTCTCCCTTCTTCCTCTCTTCCTCTCTCTCGTCCATTTCAGGAGGGTGAGCTCCCTTGAACCAGCTCAGATTCTCAGAATTCAAAGTGGTCCTATCAGACATTCTCAAAGAAGGTAACATCCATAGACACAAAACGAGTCCTAGAGACAGGATCATAACAGCAATACCCCTTTTGATTTTGTGCATACCCAAGAATAATACACTTAACTGCCTTAGGGTCAAATTTAGAATGGTTAGTCCAAGGATTTGAACAAAGCAAGTGCACTCAAGGTCTTAAGGGGAATAGTGAACTGGTTCTTATTAGGATACAACAAGTTAAAATGAGCTTTCATGTCTAAACCTGTGAGACCTTGGTGTGTTTTGGTTTCTTGCAATAGACACAAAACACTTCCATCTTTTCCTCCTCCACTTCTCCTTATTTTTTTGATCAGAAACGATAACTTTCATTAGAGATAAATTAAMCTGAAAYACAGAAKTCAACCCTTATTAGAAAAGGTTGATCCAATAAACATCAAACATTACAGCACTGCCCAAAAAAGACTCTCCCTTGCAGTCCCTTGTTTTGCTAGGGCGTTAGCAA